ACCACCCAGCTAATTTTTAAAGTATATTTTTGGGTAGACAACAGGGTTTCACCACGTTGGCCAGGCTGGTCTCGAACTCCTGACCTCAGGTGATCCGCCCGCCTCGGCCTCCCAAAGTGCTGGGATGACAGGCGTGAGCCACCGCGCCCGGACAAAATTTCCTTAGTTTTTTTTTTCCCCCCCGCAACATTTGTGGTTCTAGATAAACTTGAGAGTCAGTTGGCCACGGTATATGGTAAAATCGCTTTGGGGTTCTAAACTGTTTAATCTCTACTCTCCAAAAATCACATATGGAAGCCCTAATGTTCAATTGTGACCGTATTTGGAGCTGGAGTCTTGAAAGAGGCGATTCGGGTAAAATGAGGTCATTAAGGACAGTCCTGATCCAATAGGACTGGTGTCGTTATAAGAGGAGGAGACGAGGACACAGACACACACAGAGGGACGACCCTGTGAGGACACAGGGAGAAGACGGCGTCTCCAAGCCCAGGAGAGAGGCCTCAGGAGGAACCAGCCCTGCCCACAGCTTCACCTCAGACCTCCGGCCTCCAGGACTGTGGGAGAATCAATGTCTGTTTAGGCGTCCTGGGCTGTGGGACTTTGCAATGGTGGCCCGAGCAGACGCATAAAGGCCTGTGATTTGAATTCTATTGAACAAACATAGCACTTGGAAGGGACGAAACGGGTTCTCAAGGAAACGTATTCCTTTACCACAAGACACCGACTTGGAAATCGCTCACATTCTCACCTGGGCCGCCCCGTGAGGTCTGGCCCTGTTCTCCAACCCTGAGAACGCAGGTGATGACAAGCTGGGGGATTTGGAAGGATTTCGGGATGAGACGCATGTTTCCTGAGCACACACTTTTGGTTTTTGTTTTGTTTTGTTTTGAGACGGATGTTTGCTCTCGTCGCCCAGGCTGGAGTGCAGTGGCGCGATCTCAGCTCACTGCAACCTCCGCCTCCCGGGTTCAAGCGATTCTCCTGCCTCAGCCTCCCGAGTAGCTGGGATTACAGGCACCTGCCACCACGCCTGCCTAATTTTTATATTTTTAGTAGAGACGGGCTTTCGCCACGTTGGCCAGACTGGTCTCAAACTCCTGGCCTCAGGTGATCCACCCACCTCAGCCTCCCAAAGTGCTGGGATGACAGGTGTGTGCCATCGCGCCCGGCTAATTTTTGTATTTTTAGTGGAGACGTGGTTTTGCCATGTTGGCCAGGCTGGTTTCGAACTCCTGAACCTCAAATGATCCACCTGCCTTGGCCTCCCAAGGTGCTAGGATTATAGGCACCTGCCACCACACCTAATTTTTTTTGTATTTTTAGTAGAGACAGGGTTTCACCATGTTGGCCAGGCTGGTCTTGAACTCCTGACCTCAGGTGATCCACCTGCCTCAGCTTCCCAAAGTGCTGGGATGACAGGTGGGAGACACCATGCCTGGTCCTCTCTCTCTCGCCCAGGCTGGAGTGCAGTGGCGCGATCTCGGCTCATTGCAACCTCCGCTTCCCAGATTCAAGCGATTCTCCCGCCTCAGGCTCCCGAATAGCTGGGAATTACGGGCATGAGCCACCACGCCCGGCTAATTTTCCTGTTTTTAGTAGAGACAGGATTTCACCATGTTGGTCAGACTGGTATCGAACCCCTGACGTCAGGTGATCCGCCCGCCTCGACCTCCCAAAGTGCTGGGATGACAGGCGTGAGCCACCGCACCCGGCGTGGGGTTTGGTTTTCCAGCAGTCATAGCTTAGCCTAGTTTCATTTTCACGTCCAGCCTGTCCAGTGTGTGCCACCTTGGACATCCCGCGGATGGGGAACCAGACCCTCCAAACTCACTTCAAATCCCACAGCTGGCTTCGGGGCAGAACCCAGGTACTTATGACAACAGTGACGGGAGCAGTATTGGTTCTCAGATTCCTGCGGGAGACGGAAACGTCTCGTTTGTCAACCGTAGAGAATAGGATTTACCGGCATAGAATAGTCGGTGCCTTTGATACACTCCACGTCGGTCACGTTTCTGTTCAGGTCCCAGATCAACTGCTGAGCCTTTTCTTTCATCCTTAGGTTCCTGATTGGTGCATTTGGATCTAAAACGGTGACAGGTTGGAGTTAGAAGAGATACACACAAATCTTTTTTTTTTTTTTTTTGGATGACAGAGTGTCGCTCTGTCGGCCCAGGCTGGAGTGCAGTGGCGCGATCTCAGCTCACTGCAAGCTCCGCCTCCCGGTTCACGCCATTCCTGCTCAGCCTCCCCCAGTAAGCTGGGATGACAGGTGCGCACCACCACGCCCGGCTAATGTTTTGTATTTTTAGTAGAGACGGGGTTTCACCGTGATGGCCAGGCTGGTTTTGAACTCCTGACCTCAAGTGATCCACCCGCCTCAGCCTCCCAAAAGTGCTGGATGACAGGCATGAGCCACCGCACCCGGCCTGTGAAAGGCAATATTCTATCACATTTTGCTGGTCACCGAGGCGAGAAACATACATCAAATTTTCTCCAGGGGTTTATCTCTGATCGGCCACTTAGAAAAACTTGAGGAAATGACTCTGTAACTGTAAGAGATCTGAGTGGTTATCAAGGTCAACAACCTGGTTTGATAAGCAAAGACCAAAACAGAAGAACATTTAGACTTCTGGCATTATTTTTCCCTAACTTTGAAGCATAATTTATTTTCCTTCAACAAACTCACTGAGAAAAAAAATTCTTATAAGACTTTTATTTGGCCCGGGCGCGCGGTGGCTCAAGCCTGTAAATCCCAGCACTTTGGGAGGCGAGGCGGGTTGGATTCACCGAGGTCAGGAGTCGAGACCAGCCTGGCTTAACACGGTGAAACCCGTCTCTATAAGAAATACAAAAAACTAAG